TAGAGGCACAAATTACACATCATAAAAATTTATTAGTGAACAAATATAAAACTCAAATACACCAATAATCATTAAATGAGTGAAACTGGTAATCAAAATTTTCCTTAAAAAAAGAGACCAAAGTTCCAATATTTTTAAAGGTAAGTTTTTTTAAAGCCTTCAAAAAAGTAATCACTTTTTTTTATGCAAAGCTTTAAAATACAAAGATGAAAACAATTATGCTATTGATGTCAAGAGCAGATGTTCAGAATAGGCAAATCGATAGAGACAGAAAGTGGATTAGATATTGCCTAAAACGAGGGAGGTACTAAAAGGAGGCAGTGGAGAGTGACAGCTGATGAGTATGAGTTCCTTTTTGGGGTGATGAAAGTATTCTGGGATTGGGTTGTAGTGATGGTTGCACAACTCTGTGACTCTAGAGACCATTGAATTATACACTTCAAGTGAATTTTGTGGAGTGTGAATTATGTCTCAACAAAGCTATTAAAAGGTAAGATCAGGCAAATACAAGAAAATAATTTATATTAATCTCACTTATGATTATAGATAGGACATTCCTAAATTAAATATTGATACTTCATTTTTTTAATTCTACCTAAGTAGGAAAGTTGAGTATGTAAGAATTCTTAACACTAGAACACTTAATGATATAATTTATTATCACCTAATCAAATAATAAAAACATGAATGTTTCAATCCTTTTATTTAACATATATTTATTGTACACTTATTATATACTAGGGATTATACAGTAGAGAACAAAAAAGAAAAAGTTCTGGTCCTCAATAGAAGTAGAAAAATCACTTGATAAAATGCCACACAAATTCACAGCAAAATATGATTAGGAAAGAATTCTTTTAACTAGTTAGGGTATTGAAAAACCAAGCAAACATCATACTTAATGCTAAAGCATATGAGAAGGTTTCACCTCATATAAATAGATGTCTGTACTATAGTTTCACCTCAATAAAAAGATGTCTGTACTATAGTTCCTGGCCACTGAATTAACTTAAACAATGAAATTTATTAAAAATGGATAGGAAAAAAAAATGTCCTTTTTTTAAGATAAACTAATAAAATTTAAAATTTTAATAAATCTACAAACAAATCATTTGAACTAAGAAGATAGTTCAGCAAAGTTGACAAACAAAAGATCAAGGTACAAAAATCCACCGTACTCCTATATACTAAAAATAACCAAGTAGTGTTAATGTAATAGAATCCTTAAAATTTCATTCAAAACAGAAGTAAAAAATAGAAGGTATCTAGTGTGTGTGAGTTTTACCAAAATACTTTTCACCAATGACAAAGCAGATCAGCTTTGGTGAATGAAAATCATTTGTTGAGCTTTTGCATAACCACCACCTAGCCCAGCCATTATTTTGAACTGCTTTGGCAGTAGGGCCCTTCTGGTTAGAATTCATTCTAGATATATTCCCATATACTTGGCACATTCTCATGTCTTTGAAATACATGTACTGTGCATCAAGCATGCTTGAAACTATTTTAATATTATTGAAAAAGTAGTGAAGATGTCAGAATATGCTCTTCCTCTCTTTGAGCTTACATTCTCTGCTGCTGGGGAGTGGGAGTAGAGGGGAGGGTGGCAGGTGAAAACTTAAAAGTAAGTAAAAAGCAAAAGGTAATTTCAGAGAGAAATATTAAATCATTTTATACCATGATAATGTTAATCCACACGCCTTTCCCAAATTTCCTTCTCACCACTAATCCTCCAACTGTGTTCCACAATGCAAGGGGGCTTTGCCACAATTCTGTGACTTTCCTCTTGGAGCTTGCCACGGACCCTGCCGAGCACTTGTTCTGTCATTGACTCTCACATTCTGCCATTTCTGCAGCATCGTTTAAGTGTTGAGTAGCAGAGCAACTTGTCTAGGAGTATGTGCAAGCTGGAAAATCTTCCCTTGTCATAGGTCCCCTCACTGCTGGAGATGGTTGGCCACCAGGAAAATGGTTTGAAGTGGCATAAACAAATGTATTATTTACAGTCTCTATTGGACATGCCTAGCCCCAGTCAACAATTTCAAATATCCCAGTTGTCCCTGAATGTCAATACCTGCAGTTCCATCCTGGTTGTGGTTGTTGTTAGGTGTAGTTGAGTCTGTTGTGACTCATAGAAACCCTATGTGTAACGTAACGGAACACTGCCCAGTCCTAGTCATCCTCACAATCATTGCTATGTTTGAGTTCATTGTTGCAGCCACTATGTCAATCCATCTTGTCAAGGTCTTCCTTTTTTTCACTGACCCTCTACTTTACCGAGCATGATGTCCCTCTCCAGGGACTGGTCACTTCTGATAACATGTCCAAAGTACGTAAGATGAAGTTTCATCATCCTCATTTCCCAGGAGCACTGTGGCTGTACTTCTTCAAGACACACTTGTTTATTCTTCTGGCAGTCAATGGTGTATTCAATATGCTTCACCAACACCGTAATTCAAAGGCATCAATTCTTCTTCGGTCTTCCTTATTCATAGTCCAGCTGTCACATGCATAGGGGCAATTGAAAATATCACACGTTGGGTCAGGTGCACTTTAGTCCTCAAAGTGACATCATTGCTTTTCAACATTTTAAAGAGGTCTTTTGCAGCAGCAGATTTACCCAATGCAAATACGTTCTTGACTGCTGCTTCCATGCACGTTGATTGTGGATACAAGTAAAATGAAATCCTTCACAACTTCAATGTATATCTTTTAGATCCTTCATATATCGTTTAGACCTTTTCCTTGTAGTGAATTTAAGTCTGACTTACTTAAGCAAAGCAAAGCAAAGCAAAATAAAACAAAACATTACAAAGGAAATTCATAAACAGTGTCCAGGATAGCTCACAGCATTAAGGGGAGAGTCAGTTTATCAAGGTGGTCAGGAAAACAGGCTCTAGGGTAAGTCTCTTTGGTCCTGGATTCCAACTCAACCACTTACCTCTCTGATTCAGTGTTCTTGTCTCTAAAACAGGAATAATGAAAGTATTTACCTAAAATATTTGTTGTGATATTTAAATGAGATAGAGTATGCAACATGCTTGGCCCAGGGCCTGAAGAGATGTAAATATTTAATAAATGTGCCCTTATTATGATACATGTTTATAAATCTGGCATTAGAAGGACAGAATCAGGATAATGCTAGTGATCTTAGCAAAGGCACTTAGATAGACTGGGACTTGGTTTGCTAGTGCTGCCATAACAAAAATACCACAAATGGGTGTCTTCAAAGAGCAAGAATTTATTGTCTCACTAAAAGTCCAAATCAGGGCATCAGCTCTAAGGCGGCCTTTCCTTGTTGGTAGCCCCAGGAATTCTTTGGCATTCCTTGGTGTTCCTTGGTGTTCCATGGCATTCCTTGGCATCTATCTTCCCCCTCTGTGAGTCTCTGTGTCTATACTTCTTTTTACAAACTCAAAAGTGATTAGTTTTAGGACCCACCCTACTCCGGTATGGCTTCATTAACAGAACAAAAGAAAGCTCCTAATTCTAAACAGGGTCATATTAGCTGGTACAGGGGGTAGAATTTTAACACATATTTTTTTGGGTGGATACAATTCAATTAATAACAACCTGTTAGAACACTGCAACCAGAATGACTGAATTCTGCCTCTCTGAATCTCTCCTCAAGATTAAAATTCCTAACAGAGTGAGTGGCCTAACATTGACCATGAGCTCATTCCTGGAAGGTGGGGTAGAATAGTGGCCTGTGGTGAAGGGTGTTGGGGCACCATGATTAACAGTCTTTCTGGAACCATACTGAACACGTGGAGTTTAGTTACCAGGTGAGTGGTAAAAGTAGACCAAGCATGCAATAACAATGTCTACCGTACTGTGTGTAATAAATATCTTTGTAAGAAAAATTGCTAGACAAGAGATTTATCTTATCCATTCACCTTCCTCTGACTAGGAGTAAACTTGTTTCATATCAAGAAAACTGTTGTCTAATTTTTTTGAAGATATGTTTAAGAAAAAAGAAGGTATAAATTATCTTGCAGATCCTAATATCAGAGAATTCTCCATAATATCCAGGCACTGCATATTGCAGTGATACCCAGTTTCCTCATCATTCTGATATTGTACTCTATTATTTGAAACACTAGAAACATTTTCTTAACATTCTTCTCACTGCTGCCTTCACCTCTTTATTCTTCAGGCTGTAGATGAAGGGGTTCAGCATGGGAGTGATCACGCTGTACTGCAGGGAGAAAATTAACTCTTGAGTGGATCCTGAATTTGGCATGAGATAGCGGAGCAATCCTGAGCCATAAAAGAAGATCACCACCGTGAGGTGGGAGGAGCAGGTGGAGAAGGCCTTGCTTCTACCTTTGGCGGAGCTGATGCTCAGGATGGTGAAGATAATGCGAATGTAGGAGAAAAAGATCAGGAGGAAATTTCCAAAGAAATGCACAAGGCTGGAGCAGAGAAGGGCAGTAAAACTTGCAGAAATATCAGAGCAAGACAAAGGATAGAGGGAGGGCAGCTCACAGCTGAAGTGGTGGATATTTTGACTCTCACAGAAGTTTAAATTGAGAGCTACAAGGATGTTGATGAGAGCATCCAGAAAAGCTAAGCCCCACGAGCCCCACACGAGCCCCACACAGACCCACGTGTTCATGATCTTGCCATAGAGCAGAGGAGAGCTGATGGCAACATAGCGGTCATAGGCCATCACAGCCAGTAGGCAGGACTCTGTGCCCCCAGTGGCAAACACAAAAAAGATCTGAGCCAGGCAGCCTTCTACTGAGATGGTTTTCTTCTCAGACAGTAGATTCTCCAGCAGCTTGGGTACAGTGACAGAGGAGTGACATAGATCCAGAAAGGACAGTTGTCCCAGGAAAAAGTACATGGGTGTGTGGAGGTGAGAATCAGCCTTGATCACCACCAGCATCATCAGGTTCCCCATCATGGTAAAGAGGTAAATCACCAGGAACAATACAAAAAGCAGAGCCTGGATCTGGTGGTCAGCAGACAGCCCAAGGAGGATAAACTTGGAGACAGCACTGTGGTTTCTCATTGCCTTCAGTAGGTTCTTTGGAATGTAAGAAAGACGTCAGATAAAGCCTGTTTTTATGCCTAACACATCTCCAAGTGTTTCAGCCCTCTTCTCTAGTCACAAAGTTTCACACCTACTCAAAAATTTCCTTAAGTCCCTAGATTTTCTAAAACCTTAGTAATCTTTTCTGCAAGACCCCAATCCTCAATCAAATTCCTGTCAACCTTTATTGCCCTTGCTTTAGTTTCCTAGAGTTTGTTAATGTTGTTTTATTATTAAAGTTATTGAAGAATGTTTCTAGACTATTGATAGTAGTCTAGCAGAGTGGGAGAAATTGTAGGACGAATAAGAAAACATTGAAGAAATTGTGCCTCTGAGAGAGTGAGAGCAGTTTCAATTTTAGGCAAGAAGCAAAGTATGGCCTTAGGTGGGAGCAGGTTTACTTCATCCATCGACCAGGCATGGGGTCAGTAGATTTGGTATTGGGAAGGAAGCTGTTCTCATCTAATTGCTTTTATTTTTGCAATAAATATACAAGTGGGCTCATTAATGGAAAGTGAAGAGGGTCAAGAGTGATTTGCAGAGTGAGGAGAAAGTGAAATAATCTGCTTGAGGAGTGAGCAAATAATAAATTTTCTAAAGAAACGAAACAGGGTTCTATGTCAGTGTTCAGTGCTCTTTTGAGATTTAATGTGCAACTAATGATTTTCTCTAGCAAACTTTAGCTACTTTGGGAGAAGAGGGAGTGGGTGGTTATCTGAAGTTAACAAGCATTGCAACTGGCCAGAGAAGTGAGAAGAGAGAAGAAACGCAAAGAGTTTAAGACTGTGGTCATATGAGTGATTATAATGCTGAATCGTTGAATACAGGCTTTCTGCAGGAGGAGAGTGAGGGCACGAGGAGGAAGGTGGATGGGGAAAAAGTGGTAGGGTGGTCAAAATATTTCTGGAGTGGTGATACTAGAAGAAAATGAGTTGGAACTAGATGAGATGGTGGTTAAATATACTTACAATCCAGATTTCGAAGGTGTTAATACAGGAGTGAGTGATAAAATGTCAAAGATACGATCATGAATGAGTGGAAGAAAACTTATTGTGAAGGAGGAAGTCAAGGATTTTGGAAGACCAGGTACTGAATAGTTGAGTTAATTCAAGTGGTGAGGAATTTTATTTTTCAGACATTTATTTTTCACCCATTTCCTGAATGTTTCACATTGATTTTAAAATTTAAAACGAATAGAAAATTAAAAAAAAATAAGACAGAGGGAAGACAGCACATAGATATCCTACATGCTGTGTAATTAATCAGGAGAAACTGTTAATTAATACCGGAACATACTCTGGTCATAATCTCTATGCCCGGATTAAACATAATCCACTTGTGGTACATTAAGATTCAGCTCGTCTGTCCTCTCATGCCATTTGTAAACGTAAACTACGTGCTGACACTTTAAAGCTTGACTTTCTTTTCCCACTCTGAAGTGACAAGCCAGATTGCAATCATAGGGTCAGGATAATTCTTCAAGACTGTTGACTCCTCTATCTTGACCCTTCCTGTTCTGCTCTATCTTCTGTTGTAGTCATACTTACAGCCTGGCACATTCAATTTCTTGAAGGACTTATGATTTCTCTCCCATCGTCTATTGAAGCAGCACCAAGCGTAAAAGCTATACTTAAGAATAAAGTCTACATTACCTGTATTTCTCACCCAGTTGAGCAATAAGTAGCGCAGAATTCAAGAACAAAATTTTCAAATTCAGTGATCCAGAAGACTAGTAAGTTTGAAAGTCACTGTGAAAATTTGGTATTAAGGTGGAGTTTGAAAATTCCTGTTGAATATAAATGTCTTCCTTGATTTCTAAAAGAGGAAAATAAAGGCTAAATTGTGTATATTATTTTTTAAATCCTAAATATTTCCAGTCATGTGGGGATTACATTTTCTATATTATTGCTTTAATTTTTCTTCTTTTACTTACTAGTGTAGCTTAGCCACAGTACCCATAAAGACTCTTGGCTTCATCCTGAGAATATCACCTTATTGGCAGAAGGTGCTAGAAAAGCAGGGAATCAGACCATGAAATGCTGACAGAGAACCCATATCACCCATTATAATTTCAGAGGAGCAGCAAAAAGAAAAATCCCTCTCTTCAAACCATCTCCAGAGTCTCACTTACTAGCTACTAGAAATTTCTTAAACTCTGGGGAAACATTTTCCCTTAGAAATAAGGCCAAAGAGTGAAAATCTTGCAAAGGGCACTTTCACAAAGGATGAATCTTGAAATTGTCCATTGTAAGAGGCCAGACTCTCTCACAGATAGAGGTGCATTGTGTTAGAGTTATTTGAGGGGATCACAGAAATAACTCCCTCTAATAAAATAATCATTTTTTTAACCTGGTGCTGCAATTTCACTATTCTCTCTTGCTTCATTTATTCAGACTGTGAGATAAAATTTAGAATGGAAACAGCTCTGAGAAACCTACCACCATAAGTTGTTAGTTTTTATCACATTTAAGTGGAATCAACTAATTCGATCTTCTCAAAGGAAGAGCTGCCTGAGAAGAGCTCATTTTAGAATGAGACATACAAAAAGCACCTAACACTGTGACTGAACCAAAGGAGTTGCTCAAAAAGTGTTATTTAAAAATATGAATGGATAAATGAATGAGTGAATGAATAAATGAGACACAGAAGGAGAATATTCTAGGACTTCACTACTCACAGATGATGGACCTGGTTAGAGACCAGTTAGAGATTCTGAATACCCTAGGCTTGCATGAAGCCAGATGCAGGAAGGGCACTGGAGAAAAATCACCAATGGGAGAGGTTAGCTCCAGTGCACTATCTCTTGCCCTATTTTTAACTTCCATATACCCCAGAGTTAGGCATACTATTACCGTCGGGATCTCATATGTTTGGAGGGCTCAGAGAGGGTTATTTTTGAGTCACAAGGAGCTCCAAATCTGTCACTGATGTTCTCATCTCCTCCCACTGTATACATAGCTCTCAGGTATCAGCTTCCCCAAACTTCCAGGCTTCTGGGATAATGTGAGCTTTTAGCACCAGAAACAATATAGCAGGATATAGGAAAAAGACCTTGTTCCAATTGTCCTGGATGTAAAATGTAAGCTAAAAATAGCTACTGTGTAGGGTTGTAAGAACTTAATTTAGTAATTACGTATAGTGCTCAAGACAACGTGAGGTGCTAAAGAACCATCTGATTTCTCTTTTCTTCACTCCCAATCCAAGTGTTTAATTTTCCCAAAAGGAGGAAAAGAGGTGATTCTGAAGAACAGACCAAAACATCTTGCGTAACAGAAATGAAAACCAGATCAGAGAGAAAATGTGGGCTCTACCTCGAGTTCAGGGGAACAAAGATAATATAAGAGAACTGATAGGGAAAGGAAGTGACTGATGGGAGGAAGGGAAGAGGTGGATACTTAGGGGGAAAAGGTCCTACACAGGGAAGTTGACAGCAAAGAAAGCTATCAGAGCACAGTGGGAAGACATTACCATGTTTCTGCCTTTTCCTGGTGCAGAATGCATCTGGTTTTCTGACGTAGTGGCTATGCTTCTGAGCTCAGAAGAAATTCATACAAGAGAAAAAGTTCCACAGCTGTTCCATTATGTGAACTGACATTGCTTTTTCTTTTTAAGACTCTTAAAAAATTTTTTTTGCATAAAGAGAAATGTGTAAGCTCAGCCCTCAGAAGCCCCTGCAAATAAAGACTTCAGGAAGATTTTCTGAACTTTGACAGCATTTTTGCTCTTATTCCTAATGATACCCATAAAAAGACAAAAGAAAGGTAAACTTGAAAACTTCAAATTCTAAGGAGTAATAGTAATATTACTAATATTAATATGAGTAATAGTAATATTTCATACTATCCCTAGCATAATTACACAATCATTTCTTTACAAAGCTCCCTCTGTTACTGTTAATATAGTGCCAAGAGTGCTGTCCTAACAAAGAGGCTCAGGTCTAACCATTCAGAAGAGCTGCTGGGTTGAGGTGGCCAATGGGATGGAAAGGTATCGCCTGAAAGCCCAGGGGGCAGTTGGGTCCATTCTGATTCCTGGAAGGCTCAGCATGGAGCAAACTTCAGACTCATTGGGTAAAAAGGTTACTGGATGAGTCCTCTGGGATTTTCCATCAAAGCTAAGTGACTCATAGTTTACCTATTAGTAAACTACCCTTTCTGAATACCTATGAGCTGAATTTAAAAACATAACTGGGCTGAGGAATGAAATAATCAAACAAGTAAAAATTAGGTATATGTCATGGTTTGAATTATGTCCCCCCAAAAAATGTGTGTATCAATTTGGCTGGGCCGTGATTCCCAGAATTGTGTGGTTGGCCTCCATTTTGTGATTGTAATTTTATGTTAAAGAGGATTAGGGTGGGATTGTAACACCACCTTTACCCAGGTCACATCCCTGATCCAATGTAAAAGGGAGTTTCCCTGGGGTGTGGCCTGCACCACCTTTTATCTCTCAAGAGACAGAAAGAAAGGGAAGTAAGCAGAGAGTTGGTGGACCTCATACCATCAAGAAAGCAGTGCTGGGAGCAGAGCACGTCCTTTGGACCAGGGTCCCTGTGCAGAGAAGCTCCTAGTCTGGGGGAACACCGAAAAGAAGAAGGCCGACAGAGAGAAAAAGGCTTCCCTTGGAGATGACGCCCTGAATTTGGACTTTTAGCCTACTTCGACTGTGAGGAAATAAACTTCTGTTCGTTAAAACCATCCACTTGTGGTATTCCTGTTATAGCAGCACTAGATGTCTAAGACAGTATACAAGTTTTTAAAATGGTATTTTACTGTATAAGTAGTATATGAAAAAGGTGAACCATACAAGCAGTATGATGATGTAAAATAAAAATTCCCAGCCATATTCCTACACATCCAAAATCACATTGCAGAGGCAACCACTCCTATAATTTGGGCTGTCACCTCTTATAATTTGGCTTGTCATGGCATACATATTACTTTGCAACTTGTTTTTGACACTTAGTAAATTTTGGAGATTAC